ACCCAACAATTTTGAACATTAATTACTCTTATGTATAGGATCACTGTATGTCAGTGGCATTTTAACAAAATATTAAATCTCAGTAAGCTGCTCCCTTCGTTTAGAAACACTAATGATGTTGACAGGAGACCTGTTTAAAGTATAGCACGTGTGAGCCTTGTGAGCATTTTCTACACTGATCTCATTGGCCAGAGGACTGTTCCAGGATATAGGAGGACTACTCTGCCCTTTTCTTTTTGCAATATATAGAATTGAGAGCTGAATAGAAAGTATTTCATTTCTATATTTTCCCTATTCCAGAATTCAGGATACTGATCACCTCAGACCAATTATTATCTTTGTAATATGAAACAGATGTCCAGCAGGGAGAGGGAAGTCTAGCTTATCTTTCCTTTAGTAACCTTAAAATGATAACTGAAAAAAACAGACATCTTCTGTTCAAAATTCACATGCAACTTCCATTAGTCCCACAAAGCTGTCCCTCTATTTTATAAGAATTTCCCATTTGTTATTGTTACTAAAGAGCAGGAACATGGTAATTTAAATTATGCCTTGCTTTCATTTTCAATGACAAAAAAAAAATAGAGGGGAAAGGCACTTGTTTCAATAAAAGAGCTTGTGAAATAGAAAAATTTATGCCTTTTATGATGGAATAGAGCGGCAGACCTATGGAAAGAATAAGGTTCTGCATATCTGTTGTAATTGCACAGAAGAGGAGCTGCCAACAGCATACGCTACTTACAGAGTCATTTAAGGAACTTTGATATCTGTCCACCTAAATGCAATATATTTCCCTCAGGAAACTGAAAAGAGGTTTTACCATGCTCTGGTTTTCCTCCTTTCAGTAGCTTCTGAAAATTATGTATGCGTGGGTATTTTCAGTTTAATCATATTTTATAATTTTTAACTATTACTTAAAACTCAAATTCAGTGTAATCAGCCCATCTGTTAGCAATGGTTATAAAATTATGTTGAAGATTAAAAATTTGATGCAGTGTCAATATGCCCTAGCATAATTAAGCTTGTTTTATGATGAATGACTAGGATATGGCTTTTGTCTACTCGAGCAGCTTTAAAATGGTAAACGCTTTGTAGGCTTAATGTATGAAATGTGAAGGTATGCATAAAACAAACAAACAAAAAGTTACAAAACTCAGATCTTGTATTCGTACATGTGGTGTCTTTGCAGGCCTTGGGAAATGCCAGCAGGGTAATTCCATGTCACAACCACATTCACGGCATTTTTCAGTCCATGAAACACTATCTTGGATCTACTCTCCTCCCTGTAGAATATAATCCAAACAGGTATTAAAAATTCAAGTTTGCTAAATTCATTATTCATTTTAGAAAGGGCCAACATGACCTGTATTGGCACTGGTGGAAAAATTAGCACATCATTCACTTACATGAATCAAGGATATTGCTGAAAATACTTACTCTCTTCTTCAGTACTTGAAGTAATGCAACTTAGCCTAATCTACCCACAGGAAGAGTTAACAAGCATTTTAATTCTGGCATTACTGTGAAACAACTATATATAATCATCTCTATTGGAAAACCATTCATTATGTGGACACTTTTTCCCCTTTAAAATGTGTCTTTGGGGGGGGGGCGGGGGGGAGGCAAAAAAGTCTGTTTTGCAAAAATAAAACCGTATACACCCTTTATATAGTCTATGTGCTAAACTTCCTGCAAAGTCTTCCTCCCCTACAAACTCTGCCTGCAGAGGAAGTGTTTTAACCTTGCCCTCTTAATTTATTCTACATTCTAATTTTCAATAAACAGATGCCGCCTCTTTTCGCGCTTGTTTCCACATTGTTCCACATTCTGCCTGTGTTGTTTCTGCATGTGTGAATATTCAATTATCTATTTCTCCATGATTCTGCAACTGATGTACTAAATGTCTGTACAGGTTTGGGGGAGGGTAACCAGGGAAGGCAAAACTTAGAGGAGAGAGTTACAGAAGTTTGAACTATTCTGAGAGTCAGCTTTCCCTGAAAGCTGCTAAGTTAAGAAGAAAATCACAAGCCACAATTAGAAATGCAAGGATTATACACACACACCAGTGCACAGAAGCGGAGCTGCTGCATGGTGGCTCGTAAAAATACAAGTATTTGGTCAGCGCCTGAGCGTGACACGCTCAATAGAGACCAAAGGGGCAGAAGAGGCTCTGTTGGTGCTGCTGCTTCTGGGAGTTGTGTCTTTTTGGGATAAAAAGCACCAAGCAGCCAATTGCCATCGTAGTTATTTATAACTAAGAAGAACTGATAACATATCTTAGGACTCAAAGGTGAAGTATGCTATATAAAGGATGAAATATTAATCTTCATGGGAATGGTCCAAAAAAGGACATGACAGGACAGGCATGAAAGTGCAAGGGCTCTTCAGTACAGATCTCAAGACCTTGTGGCCCAAAAGCCTAGTTGCAGATAGGAGTAGCTTCAATCAGTAAATCTAAGGAAACGCACAGAACTGCGCTGGCTTCCAAACTCAGCAGTTAATAACTGCTGCTGCATTATTGACTCGTAAGGATACCTCTTTCCTGGAGTACTAGCGAGTTCTCACCAGTTGCAACCGGTGCTGTGGCCCTGCATGCTCCCAGCTGGGCACCCGAGTGGCTTCTGTCGGCTGCTGCGCTCACGCTGTGCTGATCTGACTCTGGTACAGAACCATCAAGCGTGGGAATGTTCTTATTACGGAAAGCTTTAAGGCTCTGTGGAAAACACAAGCTAAACTGCGTTTCAGAGGTAGGTACCAAAACTGGTAGGCTGGGCAGGGACAAAGGTTGGGTTCAGAGGTTTATGTTTCCCAAAGACGGTACAAAATTTAGAACAGCGGAGGTGGATTTGGAGCTCCCACACAGGAGCCTGCAGCTGGTGCAGTTTCAGACACGAAAGGGAAAAATGTAGATCAAGGACATGCTGACTGAGAAGCTTCAGTAGCTCCATTTCCCTGAGCAGCCTTTGCCAGCAGCACCCCAGCACAGCTCCGGCCCTGCGCTCCCACCCCTGCTCCTCCCTGGCAGAGAGAGACCCCTCGGCCAGAGCAGAGCCGCTGCTGGCACCAGCGTGCTCTCTGCCTGCTCTTGCATCATCAACGCCCTTCTCTTTTTTTACCTGGCAATAAATAACCCATTTTTCTCACCTGGCAAGGGCTATATGGCATTTTCTGACTTAAGGTGCAGCAAAGCACCCCCATCTGTCCTGTAGGTCCTGCAACAGAAGCAAAAAAGACCCAGATAGGAAAGTGTAGCACAAAAACTCACGGGCCAAGAGGTTGCCGTGAAAAGATTTCTCTGTATTCAGTGGAGCCTGATGATTAAGAGCCAGAGCAGAATCCTGACACTAACAGGAGCATATGTCTTGTCCTGAGGCTCTGTGGCTGTGGTACCCTTAACTAATTTAATGCAATTGCACAGCTGTTTAAAACTGCCATTCACCAGTACAGACAATTGGTGGTAACAACCGGAACAGTAAAAGCATGGAAAGGGCAGAACGAACATGATAAATAACTTTCTTGCCATACACTCTTGCCTTTCAGTCCCTGAGCCAAGAGGCACATGCTGCTGTGCATAAGGAAGCTGCTCCCCTCCGCTTCTCAAACACGGGCCTCGGTCGCAGCTTGCTGCCGCCGCTCAATAGCCAGCCAGACCCACCCTAATCCCTCGCTCTCCAGAAGGAGCAGTTCAGAAGTGATTTCATAGCTACAGCTGTGGTAAGCTGTGAGGCTTAGGAACAAAAGCCTCAAAACTAAGTTGAGACATACAAAACATACTTTGCACTATGGTCTGGAAGCAGCGCGCTGGGCTTTACAAAGGCTGAGAAATTAATTCTCCCACCACCTGAAAAATAGGAAGCATGTGTCAGTTCTGCACCCCGAGCAAAAGCCCATCACTCACCTGGTGTGGTACCTCCAGGATGAGGCTCAAAGCCCCAAGGCTTTCTATACATACACATTTTAATTATTTAGCCACTCTCCTCTTGAAAATTAGACATGTAACATGCTCGTACCCCTGCAAGTCGCACAGAAGTAGAACTTCAAATACTTGCCCTGCTTGCAGCCCACGCAGGGCAGCGGTCATATTTTTAAAGTGTAAATGGCCTGTTACAAGGGCTGACCCTTGCATGCTGATTTCCAGGAGATTCAAAGGAACTTAAACAAAAAAAAATTTCCTCATGCACAGCCTATACAGCTCCCGTGCAGCTCAAGAAAAGGATTGCCTGGATGTAGGCTTGCTTTGTGTGCAGAGGAAGATGTTGTTAACACTCCAGTTAGTGTGCCAGGAGAAGACTGTGCAGCTGCAGCTGTGCTGTATGCAACGACAGGCTGGTGAGAAAGCTCAGAAAAAAAAAAAAAACACAAAACTTTCTAAGGTGAAAATTACTGGAAAAGGAAAGGTGATGTTCTGTGAATACTCTGCCCAGCTGGAGACGGACGTGGTGATAAAGGTCACCCCCCTGCATCACTGACCAGACCCTTAAAAGTTAAAAGATGCATTTGATTTGGAAACACTGTTCACTGGACAAAGTCAAACCTGTTCCTGTCCAGCAAGAGCTGGCTATTCCTGTGGCATATTCTGCATGTGGCATTTGCATGAGCATCACTAGGAATTTCATCAGTTGCTCAGATAGCACGGTGGCAGGGAACAGATCAACTGGTAAAGCAGAGAAGTGCATAGTACCCACAAATCATAAAGAAAGATTTAATTACATGCTTGGTTAATATTTACAAACATTGAAGTTGTTGTTAGATATGTAAATAAAAGACAGAAATAAGAGACAGGGGCTGCAGTAGCCAAGCAAAGCCAAAACAGAACAGGTTAGAGTATTTATTGTGAACTGGCATATGCCTGGAGTACGGAATGGAGACACACTATATAAACTGAAAGAACAAATAAATAAATATTGACATTGTTCTACACCTGTTTAGCCTCTGGAGACCAGTGATTTGTGGGACCATATGTTGGACAAAATGAGACTGTTTGTTGATAATTGTAAATGTGGTGACCCCTTGCAAACTGGATATTAAAAATATTAAGTAAATGGCACATTTTAATTATACAGTAAAGAGGCTGTTCTCCACCATTAAAAGACTGCAGCTGTCAGGAGGAATTGATCATATGACAGAAGGTAACATTTATTCCATAGTAGACCTTGGTAAATGACATCCCAAATGATCTTTAGATTCTCAAACACATTCAGCTCAGACTTGGGTTTAACCATGAGGCTTTGGTGTCTTTGTCTTTCAGCTAAGACAATTTTTATCTGTTCCTCATATACCATAGAGCTTGTTTGGTTTTTATTTTTGTTTTAATCTGCTGTGCAGTATTTAAATTTCAAATGAAGTATTATTAAATGAGAAACTGTAAACGAAGGAGTTCGGAATTGGAAGTCAACACATTTGTTATTCTTTTTGCCAAAGGTATTGAGTAAGTTGCATAATTAACATAGCATTATATCATCTTTGTCAACATAACCACAACTTTCTATCAGCCTTGAAAGTGCCATTGGTGAACAACTGAACGTGCAGACTCCAAAGAAGAGCAGCCCTGGAGGAGCTGAGACCATTCACAATGCCTTACGAAGTTGCATAAGGAAATGGAGACAGGTAGCAAGTAGTCACCAGCAGAAATGCCAAACACTCTCATGTATATGTTTCTACATCTGAGGCAGAGGAGAGAAACTGCAGGCAGTTTTTGTAGCTTCCTTCCTGCCTATTGTGATCTGACTTTAAGACAAATGTGTGAAGGTAAAGCCGCAGCCCGTGTGGATTGATTCTTTTCACTGATCCAAGGAAACTCTTCCATACACAGGGTCTGATTTCCCCCCACTTCACTTTGATTTTCTGAAGTGCACGTTCCTTGTCTCACATTGTGCCAATCCTGTGGTGAGGCACTTGCAGAGTCTGAAGGTTGGGGCATGTGAAATAAGGAGCTGGAAGAAAGCATGCTGCTATTCCATTGGAAGCAAAGGGGAGCATAGGCCCATAGAATACTTCTTCCTTCCCTTCCTTGCTAACATCCAGCACCTGCAGGTCAAAGCGTATAAAACACTTCAGGGATCACAGAAGAAAGCTGAAACAAATTTGCTGGCACATGCTGCATATATGTGCTATTAATCCCAACAGAAGGTAATTTCAGATCACTTTTAGCTTGTATTTATAGATCTGGTGATTTATTGCTGCCCTCATCACCCAAATCTTATGCTAGCTCAGGCACTCAGTAGCAGCCAGTGACATTGGATCCTGCTTCCTGGCAGCAGAACACGCAGCCATGCAAGTAGGGTACTCTGCACAGAAATGCTACTGTTACTGCAAAGTGTGAATCACTTGTCAGCTTGGATTACAGGGAGCAAGGGAGTTCTATCGAAGTTGGAAGGCCAAATAAAGGAATGACTTAAAGAACAGGAAGATATATGGAAATAGTGGATTTTTATTTTTGCTTCCAAAGGAGAATGCAGCCTCGAATTTGCTGAATTTGAAGACAAAAAGGGTTAGTTTTACTAGTTAAAGCCAGGCACAATGCCAACAACCGCAAAGGGGCAGCACGCAGATCTCTGCCAAAGCACTCGTTACACTACTTTCCCCTTTCACATGGGGACTGTTGCAGGCAGGCTGCCAGTTCATGACCAGTTTGGGAATGTTTACAAACGTACATTTAAGAACACAGGATCCCAGGATCATTTCCACTTGTCACTAAGCAGTATTTAAACTCATGTGCAATATGGCAAAGTACCTGCTGACTATAAACAAGCATGTTGGTAGAGCACAGCCACCCCCTTGATATTGTGCTATTGCTCCATCTGAAGCACTGTATTTCAGCTAGTGTTATCCAAGCCAGTTTAAATGAATTTTTCCAGTAAGAATTGCTAGGTATCCACTAATTTAGAAAAACACAATTATACCATGACCAGAATATGTTTTTTACTGCTTATCTTGCATGATCTATTCTTTACAAACTCATGCTGGTAACTGTTCATTATAAGATCAGCAGCTCAACATCTAAATACATTCCCTTCTTACGCTAAGTTTAACTTCTAGTCTTATGGGACAGTTTGGAAGTTAAATCCTAAAATCCGAAAAGTTGGAAGCTAATGAAAATGTTATCAGCAAAAGTGCAGAAACTGAGATGAGAAAAAGAGCTTCTGTCTCTAACTGCCCAGCTGGTCACAAAGCCATGGCTGTGATGGGGATTTGCTTCACTCAGAAAAATACAGAAAGATAAGAATTCCTGATTTCTGTATGGGAGTATCTGAAAGCCATGGATCTGCAGGCAAGCTGCTCTCACACAAGATGAGAGAGCAGAAGAGTTTGTTGGACAACCTATTGCCTACAGCAGGGATCAAAAAACTTCCATTCAAGCTTTGAAGCAGTAAGCGCTAGGGCAGGTTGCAGGCTGACTGAACTTTGTCAAAGAACAACTCGTTAACTCTGGCTGCTCTTCAGAAAGACAACTTGGAGAGAAAAAAAAAAAAAATCACAAGACGGGCTGAAAAATTGTTAGCCCACACTCCATCATCCATTTCTGCAACCCTTTTACTTCTGAACTTGATTGTGTAACCTGAGGGTATATACCCGCTATTTTACCCCAACCTTGCCAAAGGAGAGACCCCTCAACCCTGTTTCACTAGAGTTATCTTAAGAAGAATTCCATCTAATGGCTCATCTGGAAATATTTTTAATATCCATGAAATCTCCTCTCTGTGTTTATGCAGGCTCAGTGGCTACGTAGGAAACATCCTTAATCTCTCCACTTCACATGTATTTCCCTTTTTGAATAACCTCTGTGCAAAATGTATCCTTGCAAAATTATTGGAAAAGACTTAAAAGAAACCTAAATCACTCACCTGGATACATGCCAAAGGCTCATTTGTCCAAATCGAATAGCCGCCAACTAAATATATTCTACCATTGTGGACGGCAACTCCAGACTCATTTTGACCTAAAGCAAAAAAGGAAATAGAAACCACTTTCAGTGCTTAATTAACCCCTTTAACACCAAATGCTGGAGTTCTGTAATACAATGCAAATGCACTTGGCAATAACTTGACTGTCTCAGAATTCACAACGTGCAACAGTGAAGGTGAAGTGTGAGGGCTGCTCTCCGCGGCAGCCCCGTACCGTGCTGTCTGGGGAGACACCCCGGATGAGCAATAAACTGAGGCTGTGCAGGGGATCATCTGCTGTCTCCTCAATGGCAGAGGTTTGCTGCTAACCATAACACTATCACACATGCACATCCAGGTAGACGTGTAGGCCAAGCAAGCTGAAGGCCCTTCAAGTTCTGCCCACACCTGTTCACCCTCCCGTTCCTCCAGGTACAAGTATGGTAAAAACTGCAGAGGCTGCTGTGCGAACTCATTCCCATAGCAACGGTCTCCTGAACAAGTTTGGAAGTTTTGAAGCATAAATACAGCCTTAAAAAAAATCTGCACTACACAGTGCAACAGGCACGTTTACCATCAGTTGCAGAGACACAAAGAAAAGCTTAGGTGAGTTCTCAGGGTGCAGGTTGTCGAAACAACCCACCAGCTCATATTTGAGAGAAGGCTACTATTTCATAGCACTTAGTGTTACGGGGTCAGCTCTAGAATGAGGGTGCCTGCAGTGCCAGCGTTTTTGCAGTTGCAAATCAGATGAGTCCTTCTCAAAGGCTGTCAGTTACTCTAGATAATAAAATAATTAAATGGAGAGCAAAAGGGATATGAAAAACATTCTGTCTGATAATGTTTAACTCCTCCTTTTTAATCCATGCCTCTCTGCCCAATGTCCATGAAGTACTCTGATAACCTGATTCAGAAACTAACCAACCCTTCTCCAGATCCCAGATATTAAGAAACCCAGTGCAATATCTTAAAGAACAAAGTTGCCACTAGATCAGCTTTTAAACCTACCAGGAGGAAAATGACATCAGGTGACTGTATTATTTGTCAGACGTTCATTTCTCTGACATGGAGTTTCTAGCCATCCTGAGCTCCTAGTCAAGTTCCTACATCTTTTGTATCCTTTACAGTGGTAGATCTAAGAAATCAATGCAATGCCAAATGGAAGAGGATGAAAAGTGAGGTTGACTTAGTTCTTGGCGTCCTGCAGCACTCTGTGCTGAAACTTTTTGGCAGCCAGTACTGTTACCAATTGAGCTCCAAGTCTGCTGCACAAGAGAATGGCCCCAACATTAATGCTGTCCTGGAAGTACATCCTCTTCTGCAAAGCTGCTGGTGGTGCTATTCTAAGAACAGGGATTCGAGGAGGTAGTACATCTGGGAAATGTATCAAGTGGCAGTGAAATTTGGTGGTCTGGGTGGCAGGGACAGTGAGTTGCAGTGATTTTCAAGTTGCTACTGTAACAATTCCTCCTAATGATGGTCAAGAGATCCAGATGGTCAACTTTACAGAACCATAGCTAATTCCTCCTAATGATGGTCAAGATGGTCAACTTTACAGATCCATAGCTAACCAAGATACTCCCATCATCCCTGACTTGACAGAATTCAAACAACGACACCTCCTTTTGGGTAATTTATTAAGAAGATACTGCTTAGAAATAAG